ATATATATATATATATATATATATATATATATATATATATATATATATATATATGTATGTATGTTTAATGTGTATGTACATGCATATATATATATATATATATATATATATATATATATATATACATACATATATATTTATAACATATGTACATATACTCGAGAATCATTTATCCATTTAAATAAATTGCTCAGCAGTCTCAGTTTACTTAAAAAAAAAAAGTCTTTGTGTTTATACAGGGTGTCTGACTCATACCATACCAGAAATAATATAGCTAGAATAAATCGGGGTGAGTAATGGAATCGGTGTCTTTTTCTTTTTATTATTAAAATTTCGAGTTATTAAATAAAATAGATGGGATAATTACAGTGCGCGACGCGGCAGGCAGGACATACGGCTCGTCGCGGCCGGCGAAGAAAATGGACGATTGATCGCGGGTCTATCACGCAGTGTCAGATCTAAGATGTAGTCCCCACTTTTGGACCTATGAGATAGATCCGCGAGCAATCGTCTATTTTCTGCGCCGGCCGCGGTGAGCCGTATGTTCCGCCTGCCGCATCGCGGGCTCTGATTAGCCCATCTATTTTATTTAATAACTCGAAATTTTACGTGGTTGTTTAAAAAAAGACACCGATTCCATTACTCACCCCGATCTATTCTAGCAATATATTAGCTCCGGTATGGTATTAGTCAAACACCCTGTATGTATAACTAATTTCTAAAACATTTTTTAAAAATAGACTTCGACAGATCTCTTGCAAATTTCAAGACGATCATTTAAAAAAAAAAGCATCAAAATTGGTTGAAATCCAAGGACTCTAGGTATTTTTGAAACGATGCATGTCGAATGGCCCCACTGTGCGCTCGATGGAAGACGGCGTGATGACCTGTTTACTTGTTGTATTTTCTTGTATTTACTTGTACTATTTTTAGTTGTATTTTTTATTTTGAATAAAAAATTTTCACAAAATTTGAGATGTGCCTACAAATATGAATAAATGTCAGTACAAAACTACTATAACGGAAATGTGTTTAAATAGCACTTGACTTTAAATATTACTATTCAGTCAGTAGTTTGAATATTACTTAATGATAATAGTCAAACTTCTATCATCTTCCTTAGGTGTCCATCATCCCACGCGGAAAAGGATTAGGATATGCACAATATTTACCGCGTGAACAATATCTTTACACAAAGGAACAGTTATTTGATCGAATGTGTATGACACTTGGTGGACGAGTGTCAGAAGAAATATTTTTCGGCCGTATAACTACAGGCGCCCAAGATGATTTACAGAAGGTATTACAGTTGTATGCTTCGACACATATGTATATATACAAGGTGTTTCACTTTAAGTGATATGGTCGATTATCTCGCGAATCGATGATTTTATTGAAAAATTTTTCCAACGAAAGTTGGAAAATGGCTTGAAGGGGAATACATGATGGAAATATGGACTTGACCTTGAGTGACCTTGTCAAAATCAGATCATTAGTTTTTTTAAATGGAAACCCCTATTTTTTATTACATATTCTTGTAGCTTATCGCGAAATATCAAAACACTGTAATAAAGTTACATTTTATTGAATATTTTCCGAGTTATGGAGCTTGAAAGTTAAGGCAAGACCGATCACTGATCCGTCCAACTAAGGCAAGACCGATCATTGATCCGGCCAACTAAGGTAAAACCGATTCGAATATGTCTTTAGCCGTTGATAAGATGTTTAAATGGAGCTCTATTTTTTTGCAGACATAGCCTCAATAGTTTCTCAAAATTTTCTACTGTTGAAATGAAAATATTTTGAGGAATGCTACGATAAACATTAGTTATTCGATTTTTCATATCTCTTGCAGATGTCGACGGAGTTTTGTAAACAATATTTTTTATGTAGCCCCACAAAAAAAATCACACGAAGTTCAATCAGGAGACCATTAAGGCCATCGAATATATCCATACCTCTCTATCCATCTTTCATGAAAGATGTTATTAAGGTATTCCATCAATACGATGAGAATGGGGTGGCGCCCATCTTGCTGCCACCACATTTTTTGTCGAGTAGCAAGATAAACCTCTTCTAAAAGCTCAGACAATTTGTTCTGCAAGAAAGAAAAGTAAGTTTCCCCATTTAAGCGGTTATCAAAAAAGTATAGACCAATCAAATATCTATTTACAATTCCGCACCAAGTGTTTAAACTTCAACGATGTTGATTATCAACACGTTGAGTCCAGTGAGGATTGTATGTGGACCAATAAATACAGTTATGCCTGTTGTCCATTGTTATGAAATGAGGCTTCATCACTGAAGAGAACATACTGGAAAAAAGTTGGATCTTCTCTTATTATTCGTAATGCCCAACGACAAAATTGTCTTCTTAGCCTTATATCATTTTCACTTATATCTGGGGTTAAAGTGATATGGTAGGAATGGAATTTATGTCTTTGTAAAATCCTCTACACAGGAAGGATATAAGGAATTCCTAAATTACGTTGCTGTTCTCTAGTCGAAATATGAGGATTCAAGTTTATCATTGCTAACACTGCTAATACACGCGGATCATTAACGTCATCTTCAACATTTATTTGCTTGCGATTTCTCTTACAGATTCTTCTACGCTCTCGTAATAAAATTCTTCTTATCTGCATTGCATTTAGATGTCGTCTAAACGGATATCTATTACGATACAATCTTTCTGCTTTACAATAATTTCGTCCAGCTTCACCAAGCACAAGAATAATATCAACTATTTCATTTGAACTGTAAGCGGCTATTTTGCAAAAAGCTTTGAAAAAGCCCACTTAGGTAAGAAAATAAAAAGAAAAAGCTATACGAAAAAAAGAGGAAAGTTGAATCGTTCAATTGAGAAGGATTGGACTCAATTCCGTGCGCATGAGCGTAAATCAAGCAGTGCGAATAGATCGCGGAGACGCGCGCGCGTAAGAATCCGGCTCACACGCGCATGCATACATGGATAACGCCGCCGATACTGTAGTTTTCAAGCTCCATAACTCGGAAAGTACTCAATGAAACGTAACTTTATTATAGTGTTTTGGAAAGCTCTCGCGATAAGCTACAAAAATATGTAATAAAAAATAGGGGTTTCAGTTTAAAAAAAACTAATGACCTTGATCTGATTTTGACAAGGTCACTCAAAATCAAGTCCACATTTTCATCATGTGTCCCTCTTCAAGCCATGCAACTTTCGTTGGAAAAATTTTTCAATAAAATCAATTCGCGAGATAATCGACCATATTACTTAAAGTGAAACACAGGTTACTGTATACAGGGTGTTTCAGACCACC